ATTTTCATAGGGACAGTCCTGATACATCTGCTCCAAAGCGGCAGATGCCAGAGTCTTTCTGAGGGTCAAAATTTGAATATGATAAAAAAAAATCAGAATCATAGAAAATAGGCTTGGAAGAGTCCTCCAGAGGTCATCTAGTCCAGCCCTCCCCCTCTTTCCTCCCCCCGAGCAAGATCAGCTATACCTAAATCATTCATGACACAGGTTTGTCTAACCTGTTCTTAAAAACCACCCAGGAAGGACAGTCCACAATCTCTCTTGATCATCTCTTCTGGTGCTAAACTATCCTTACTCAGAAAGATGCACACAATATTTATTTTCTCCAACTACTTTTGCTGAGCAGTTAAAAAGCAAGCCATGCTGGGTCTCAGGCAGGCACCTGCCAGGGAACTTTTCAACCCATACTGTTAATATTTAGCAAAGTTTTAAGCAACTGAAGATGGCCTTCTAATAGGAAGTGCAATAATAGGAAGTGTACTGCCTGCCCCTTCCTACTGTATTATAGCCAGAAGTGCAGATGGACAGCATAGGCTTCTCAGAAAAGAAGCCAGTTGTCTTGCAGTTCAGCCAGTTCTTTCTCTTGTCAATGATTTCTTGTTGCACTGAGACTGGGATATCCAGGCCACTTCCTACAGGATGAAGACATCTACATTTGTGCTTGCACAGGAGACAGTTTTTGAAGCACTTAGATGTCACGTGCTTATCCTTCATCCTGAATAACACTTCCTCCTTGAGGAGTGGTGGTTGGTTAGGCTTTCATGCCTTTAGAGGAGGACTAGAGGGTAAGCCAGAGTTTGATTCCCAATGAAACCTGCAGAATTGGTTTCAACTCCTTTTTTCCCCCCACAAGCTTCTGAACTAATAAAGCTGGCTCTTACAAAGAGTCAGTAAAACCCAGAGTCTCCCTAAGCATGGGGATGGCTTCTAGGGAACATTGCAAATAGTTCCTCCACCTTCAGCAAACTATCCAAAATCAGGTTCCACTGTCCCATGTGAGCTTCCAGGACACTTCTTTTTCCCCAAAGGCTTGATACTGTCAAAAAAACCCCTCAGGGAATGCTTTAAAGTCCCTTTTTATTGACTCTCAGGAAGAGCTGTCACTGAGCACCAGTGTCTCATGTTTTCCCCTGCAATCCTCAGTCCAGGCTCAAAGAAGATACTGATTGCCCCAGACTTGCCCAGCAACAAGCATATTTATATCGACAAACAAGGTGAGATGCTACTCGTTGGCCAGACCGATAATATTTCTCAATTAACATTTGCAAGAGACAGAAGCAGCCATGCAAGTTCAATTCCATGTAAAGACCACTGCCCCCTTGGGCACAGCCTTCAGCCTCCCACTGGCTCCTTTGAGTCAAATGCCAGACAGGTTGGGCAGAAGGCCCCACTGAGGGATCCTCTGGAGACAATGCAGCTTGAGGAGAGTTACACGGAGACAGATCTCCATTTTTTAAGGACCACCTGATTAAGAACCCATTGATGCCTTGTAGGTTAGGAAGAAGAAAGGAAATGCACTTTGGTTCAGCATACAGTCCACACCCATGATTCACTCTCAAAGATTTCTGAACGCCTAATAAAGCAGGTTCTTCAGCGGCCTGGATAATCGCATGACCAATAAAAGAATTTGTGGGCATGCGTGTTACTGGTAGACTGATTTGCCAACTGTTAATACCATTACTGAATGAGTAAATCAGCTGACGAATACTTTGGTCAATATTTGTAGCTGGTTCAGTGCCTTATTAGGAATTACGTGATATTCTTGTTTTCTATATAACTGTCATAACTTTTTTACTCCTGCAAATTCTGCCCTTGATATTTGTTTCCAGAGGCATTCCACAGTGCAACTCCTTTCTCAGTTTTACATTTGTCACCTTTCACCATGGATGTTCCTTGATTCTTGCATTATGAGACAGGGTAAGTAGAAGTTTCCCAGTCTACTGTGTCTGTACCATCTCATGTAATACACTTTGGTCTTGTCTCCTCTTTCTGTCTGCTCAGGTTAAACAACCTGAGTGCTTGTGGGCTCCATCCGAGAGCTTTTCCAGGGTGCTAATCACACTTGTCATCTATCTGTGGCTTGCACTGGGTGGAAACCAGGCTCCCACTTCACAAAGCATTTCAGGATTTCAACCTCTGTTTTTATTTCAGTGAAGAACAAGTGAAAGTCTTTTGGAATTTTTTGAGAGAAAATAAAAGCAAGACAGATGGACCCAGCTCAGAATTGTCTAATTGTAAGGGCATTCACTAGGCATGTGGGAGACACCTTGGGTTCAATCTCATGCTCTTAATCAGGCAGAGCAGAGACTTCAAGAAAGGTCTCTCACATCCCAGCTGAGCAAGTGGCCTGATCCCTGGGCTACTCTCAGATGGACTTCTGTCTCTCACCTGCTTTGAGTAAGAATCCCACTATGGACCTGAGATCTTGCCCACCTTCTCTCTTTTTACAAGAGTGTTAATACTATTCTCCTTCTCTTTCTATGCTCACTTTTCATGTCTTGTGAAGATTTTACTTGCTTCCTTTTTCCAGGTCTTTTCCTTAAAACTGTGTATATTTCATAGGTGTACATATATAGAGAGAAATTACAGCTGATACATTACATGTATGTGTGTTCATAAAGGATAGAAGCATCCAGTGAAGGGCAAGAGGAGATAAATTACATGTTCATGTATTAAAACAATATATAAAAACATGGCTATTCCTAGTATGAAGGCTTATGACATCCTTTCAGTACCCCTTTGCCGTGAAGAAATTCCCTTATTAATTCCCAAACTGCTGTCCATGTCTTAGCCAGCTTCCTAACAATTTTACCTCTCATATCACAATGATAGAGTGCCTAAAAGGCATAGAGCCCTTTTAAAGGTCCAAGTAAATTGCCAACCAGTTTTCTTTATCTCTTTTATTGGCACATCCACAGAATTACAAGAGATCAAGGAAGAATGGGCAAGCAAATAAAACTGGCCATTTTAAGAGAAAAGAATATAAAATTTGCTTACTCTGCTAGAGTCCTGAATTTGAGGGACTGATGATCAGATCCAATGTGGGAAACCTTTTCTCCAGGTGGGACCATGGAGAGAACATTCCCCACCAGTTTGGAGCATGGAGTTATTCTAAGCAAGGAAATGCATCCAGTGCCTCTGGTCACAACTCCATCCACTAACTTGTCTTGGTGGAATTCTTCGCCTTTTGGATGCCAGAGAGCAAGTATGTAAAAAACAGGCCAGGGATGAACAGAAACCAGTAGCTCCCCCACCGCCATGGGCAAACAGAACTGGCAGCAGCAGCAAAGCAAACTGAGCAGCAGGAGGAAGAACTTTGAATCAGGACTGCCACCTGGCCCCAAAGGCTGCAGGTAGCTGTAGCAAGTCTCCAGTCCAAGAGAGAAGGCAGGTGCAATGTCTGTTCCACAGTCAGCACAGATGTGGTGTCTGTCCTGTGGGGAGACAGGAAAAGGCTCTGGTTTAGTTGCTTATATGTACTGTCCCCTGCTATGCCAACTATGATCTTTGTAGGGTAGGGGGAATGATACAGATGTGGGGCTAGGCAGTCAGGAGCAGTGGCATCTGCTTTCAAGGACTGTCCACATCATTCTTCTCCCTAGGCTGCCACATGGACAGCTCAGGCTAGGGCTGAGCATTTAAGACCCCTCCTGCATGTATCCCCTCCAAGCATCTGCCTGCTACTAGTGCAATGTCTGCCAGCGCTGTCACCACAGATATTGGCCAGACACTGGTTACAGGGAGGCAGAGTGTCTGGTGCAGAGTTTGTACCATCCAACAAGGGAGCACATCAGCTCCACAACCCTGTCCATCCTCCCCCCACACCTCTCCTCATGTCCTTACCTCCACTTGTATGTCCTCTGTGCATTTCTTCCTGGCAGGTCAGTATTACAAGGACAACAGGAACAGGAAGGGAAGAAGCACCCAATGAAGGGCAGAAGGAGATGAGGAAGCGGATGCCATGTTCAGGTTTATAAGCTGCACTTCTATCTTCTTTGTGACATTGGAAACTGCAAAGTAAGAGCAAGGACAAGTTGCTAGCACAAGAGGTATGGGCACCTCGCTCACAGGTCAGCTTCCAGGAAGAGGAAGACCAATGCCCAAGCTTTCTTTTTCCCCCTCCCAGTTTCCATCATTAAAGGTGGGAGCTGCTTCCCACTCTGGAGGTATGCTGTTGGGAACGTCCCACTGGGGCAGTTTCATAGCCCTTAGCATGGACAAGAAGAACACTTATCCAGGAGGTGCACAGCCCCACTAGGGGTAATGCCTTGCTGGACCTGGTCCTGGCCACGGGGGATGACCTGGTGAGGGGACTGCAGGTCCTTGACCACCTGGGCAATAGCGATCATCACCTGATGGATTTCACTGTCCAACGCAGGGTGTCAAGGGCTTAATGCCCTTAATTTCAGAAGGGCCAACTTCAATGAGCTTAGGAGACTAGTGGGGGAGGCACTGAGGGCCCAGAAGGTAGAGGAGATGGGAGTTCACGAGGGATGGTTGTATCTTAAGGGGGTGATCCTCCAGGCCCAAACGGTAACAGTCCCTGAGAGAAGCAAGTGGACTGCTCAGAAACCCCCTTGGCTCAGCAAGGACATTCAGCAATGCCTGAGGACTAAAAGGGTGGCATACAACCAGTGGGAGTGAGGAGCTATCACCAAGGAGAAGTACTCCTCCTCAGCCCGGGAGTGCAGGAGGGCTGTTAGGAAGGCCAAGGCAGAGATGGAGCTCAGGCTAGTGTTCAGGATTAAGGACAACAAAAAGTCCTTTTCCAAGTACATTGGGAGCAAGAAGAGGGCACCAGGCAATGTAGGGCCCCTGAAAGACCCAAATGGTAATCTTGTGGCTATGCCAGACAAGAAAGCTGGTATTTTTAACAGTTTCTTTGCCTCTGTTTTCTTGAACAGGGACCAGGACATCC